TAAAATATGTCTTCTCTTCCTGGATAGAAAGGCAGCTTGTGTTGCATTTATAAAATTATTGCTGATTTATTTCCACCCTGGCATTGCACTGATTCACAACTGTAGGCTAACCTTTATCACCACCTCTGCTAAAAGGCATTTTTGTTCATGAGGACATGAGGGACAGTTTCATCCTAATTCCTATGGAACCAACAAGAATTTTCTTCACAACAAACTGTTTCACTTTTTTTGTTTTTATTAGTTCTTGAAACTTTCTTAAGAGTGATGTGCTTAGAGTTTTTTAATCTTTAAATTTATTTAAGAGGATTTTAGAACCTAAATATGAAGAGCAGAAGATCTGACATTGATCCCTGAGGAACCTCACAGATTTTTGTTTTGTCTGTATTCAGGGATAGAGCTAGAAAGGGGGGCCAAGGGTGGCCATGGCCCCCTGCAGCCAATCATTGTTGGCCATCCCCCCAAACCACCCACCAGGTAGTTTGTTGTTTCCAGGTGGACATGATTCACCACCTCTCTTTTTTTAATTTTGCTATTCTATCCTTAATTTAATATAAGCCATGTATTATAATTCATTATATTGGTATCTCATCTGTATTAATATGCTTTTTGAATGCTCATAACTATTGCGTGTTTATTCTAATTTGACTGTAATTAAAGTTGCTGATAACTTAAATATATATAAAGAAAAAAACATAATTCATAGCCTCCTGAACAAGCAGTTCCCCTCTAAACCAGAAGGTGGCAGCAGTGATACCTACAAGTGGATTATCCTGACTATTTTACATTTTAGATGTTAGTATAATAAACATAAACTCAAAGCAAAAATACAGTAGTTAATTATTCACATCAACATACTAAAATTAAAAGATTAAAAACACACTTATAGAGACATTTAACACAAAAGTTATATATATTTTTTATTTATCTGTAATTATTCTATCATTCCACACTATAATGTAGGTATTACAAGTATGTTTGGTTAATACTAATATCATATTGGGTCAATATTGATACACAAACCTGCTTTACTGTATTTTATTATAAATTAATAATGGTGTTGTTTATGTATCCATCAAACATTACAAATCTACATAGAGAGTTTACCTGCATGTGTTTCATATTAAACTGCTCATATGAGTATTTGCTCACTTCAGGTAGAACTCAGACTCCATGTAATCCCATAGTTTTAAAATAAAACTGAGGAAAAAACAAGACTTTTATCAACTTAAGTTTGGCAAAATGTGTAATAACTTTTGAATTTTAGCAAAAATCCAACAACATATTTATTTAATAT